ACAAACTCATTAGCCCAGAAATGGCAAGCTACAGGATATGGGATTATAGAAGTCCAAACTTAAAGCATATAAACAACTATAACCATAAAATTGTAAATCCATGCATACAAGACCCATTCGTAATAATTTTTCTAACCATTACTGATAGGAATAAAAAGTCCAAAGAACTCAAAATTTCAAGTAAATAAATGTATAAGCCCTGTAAAATAGAAACATACTATGTATATATGTGTATCTCGTCTAAGATCTACAAAAACTCAAATTCTGCAAGGAAAATAATAAGGCCATTCATCACCCACTAATCTCTTGTCACTATGTATTATGTAGCAAGTATTTGGCAGTTTTTTTACTATTACTATTATTATTATTATTATATTTTTTTTTTCAACTGATGTGGAGAGTTTGAATCCACATTGTTAGAGAATAAAACCTCACTTAAAAGCTTAAGCTTTTAGGCTGAATGGTTCTCTGAGATGGTATCAGAGTGACTTTGACCAAGTGGTCTAGTGTTTGAAACTTGTCACCTCCATTATAATTAATTAAGTTTCAGCACAAGGTATGGGTGGGCTGTGCTGTTCTATCTTCAAGCCAATTGGCTTCCATGTGAGGGGGCATGTTAGAGAATAAAACCTAATCAAGAACCTCACTTAAAAGCTTAAGCTTTTTAGGTTGAATGGTTCTCTGAGACACGTGTTCAGTCATAAAACTTGGACAATGTCCAGTGTGCCTTTTGTAAAAAGAAATGGAATTGGTATGGTGATTATGGTCATTGGGAGATGTCCCCAATACACGTAAGGTTGGGATGTTCTGTGGGTTTTTGGGGCGCAGATGTGAATTCCCTCACTCTTCCCTCTTCAAAGGAAAGGAGTGATTTAAGTCTGTCATGTTATCTACGGTGAAGTTGTCAGTGGGAGATGTTCCCAATACACGGTTGGTGGGGCTTCTGTGGGGTGCCCTCTGTGGGGCACAGATGTGAATTCTTATTAATACTAGGCCAAACATCATGCACCGATACGATGTTAGTTCTGTACCATTAATTCATGATGGGGTGGCTTCACCCAACCCATTCTTTATCGGGCTTAAACATAGTTTTAGGCTCACGAGCTCGGTGCAAATGCATGAAAATGAAAAGTTGGTTTAATTTTGTGACAATAATTTTTGCATTTTTAGTAAATGACTTTTAGTTGTGATGGGTGCAAACACAACTCCCAAGATTGAAATATACCACTCCACTAGGGTTGTGGGTTAAAGGGATAGGCAATGGGCTACCCCGATTGTGTAGTCCCATAAGGCTCCATTTGGGAAGAGTGCAAATACAACTATGTAGAGTGCATTCTGCTCCATGTAAATGCAAAGTTGATTTATTTTTGCACTATAAATTTACCTTCTTGCCAAACGATTTTTAGTTGTAATAGGCACAAGCATGAATCCCAAGACTAGAATATACCTTTTTAACATTTATTAACTTTGAATGCAAAAATTGCAAACTTTGCTCTCATTTTTGGTGCAAACATGCCTTGATATTTGTAAAAAAACATTACTTTTAGTACATAACAAGGTTTTTAACCCATCATTGACCTAGATGGTGGAACTGTTTAAACAATCACCTGGTTAGCTTTTCGAGTATAGTTTTAGCAAAATTCTCCCTTTCACAACAAATTATTGACCAAGTCAACAATTTGTCAACCCATATGGTCAAACCAGATGACTCGTTAGTGGGGCAACAGTAGGGGTGCTCACGGTTCGGTTAACCAAACCATTGGCTAATTTTTGAAACCGAACTGGGGTTATCGATTTTTGGAAAACTAGTAACTGAAACTGAACCGAAGCCTATTGGTTAACCGGTTAACCGGTTCAGTTTGTCGGTTTTTTGGTTTTTTATTATTTACAATATTTATTATAGAAAAATATATAAATATATAATAAAATACTATAAATATATATAATAAATGATATATTATATTATATATATTTATATATAATGCATATTTATTAATTTATAATGTAAAAAATATAAAATATAAAATATAATATATGTAATATATAATTATACATAAAATATATATAAATATATGTATATTGGTCAATTCGGTTAACCGTCGGTTTTCTATTTTGGTTAACCAAAACCTAATTGGTACCTTCGATTTTTTAAACTATTGAACCGAAACTGAACCGATTGGTTTGATTAACCAAAATTCCGGTTCAGTTTCAATTGGTTCGATTTTTTTTTTCAGCTTTTTTGCTCACCCCTAGGCAATAGTTTTAATTTTGAAAGACTCTTTCATTCCATATTTTAGGTTTAAAACATTTAAAAATAACTCTTTGTCCCATATTTAGTTGAACTCCCTTTTCCTTTTGTTTCTTCATTTCTTTGTCATTTCCAAGGTTTTGAACCCATTTATTGACTTAGATGGTTGAACTATTTAAACTGTTGCCATGTCGAATTTTCGGAACTCGATTTTAGCAAAACTTGCCCTTTCACCAAAAAACATTGACGGAGTCAATGGCTAAGTCAACAAACCATCGACTTAGACAGTCAAACCATCGAACCGAACGACCTGGTTAGCGGGTGATGGTTTGAATTTCATATTACTTTTTTCATTATTTTATGTTTAAAATTTTGAAAATGACCCTCATGTCCCAGATTTAGCCCAACCCCCTTCCTTTTATTTATTCCTCCCTCCATTCTTTTACGTAGGATTATCAAGAAATAACAAAGATGAGGGGGAAATAAGAATATGAAAACACCAATACATCATTGCTTGACTTCGAAACAGGCATCTTTTTCATCTTTCACTCATTTTAGTATAATTTCCTTTTGTTTTCAATTTTCCCACGATTCTTTAAGCTGCAACCTGCAATTGACAACCTGAATATGGACTTTGAGCTTCAAGTTGGCATTTGGCAACACTTTTGAATATGTTTGGTTGTAGCATTCCAGCTCTTAGAAAAGTTGCTATGAGGATTCATAGCCAAACTTGTAGTTATTTTGGATGTGAGTGTAATTGGAGTGTTTTTGAACGTATACATATAAATAAATGAAATACATTATAGCAGAAAAATGACTCAATGACTTTATATATGTCCATTATAACATATGCTTGAAGTGTAGGTATGAATTTAGTCGCTCATCTTCTTATTCATTCTATTTCATTAGTTATAAATTATTGATTTGTTCACAACTAGATTGTGGCCTATTGGCCTATGATTATTTGATCATAACTTGTATGAAGAAGATTAAAGACTATGATCCCATTGAGGTTGAACACGTTGACATCATAGAAGATGGAGAGTGGATGATGTTGAAGAGCTTCCACTACTTGATAAAGATGAGTTAGAAATATGTTTAAGGGGGGTGATGACACAAACTCAAATCATGTATTTGTCAATGAGATCAAAGAAAAAAATGCTTAGGGAAGAAGGTAAACGAGTAATTGCATAAGTTGAAGGGATTATAACAAATGGAATATAATTACAACTATGTTAGAAAGTTTAGGGGAGATGATTGCAATTACCAAATTTCAAGGGAGGTTTCAGCAACAACTACAAACTTCAGAGGAGGTTTCAATGGTTTTGATATTAAGGAAGATAACCTAATTAATGTAATTGCAAATTAATAAATATAACATTTACTAAGTTGACTTATCATATTAATGGGTAAATTACATAAACCTCCTCTCTATTCACCTATTTAAGTAATTGAAGTAAGTTACTCATATGTTTATTTTACTTAATAATAATTTACTGATATGTGACTTTAGGATTTTTCTGAATTATTGTTGGTTTAACATCATTGTTGACTTTTTTTTTCTCTCCCCCACCCTCAAAAGGATGGTTTATCCTTCACGTCTGCTTTAATTCGTTCTATCATAATATTTGGTAGCAGAATTTCATGTGCATTTCTAAAATATAAAGGTTGTGTTTGGTTGCAGTGCAATTTTATTTGCACTAGTACAAGTGAATAGGAGTGCAAATGTAAAAAATGCAAAATCTTGTTTAATTTTGTTTTTAATTTTACTTTATTCTACTTCATTTATACTTTAATCAAACAAAACAAGCTAAAATTTGAAACAAAAATAGGTCAGAATTTACACTCAAATCATTTGCACCGCCATGGTTTTGCATCAGTACAAATATATTTGCATTGCAACCAAACACAACCAAAGGCACATTCACACCATTAAAATAGTTGATTTAAGTTTTAATTGGCTTGGAGCATTTAAAACCGTTCCTAACCCGATTATGATTGGGACACGAAAGAAAACCATAACCAGATCCTATATAATTGGTTGGTTCATTCTAATTTGTGGATTTGCTAACATTTTTATTTTTATTTTTTACTTTTTATGATCATTTAATTGAACATCTCCTATAGTTTTATAGATTTACTTAGCCCTACCCTATAATTTACATTTTACTAAAACACCCCTTATAGTTTGCTACATATTTACTTGATTGACCTTTCATTAAGAACTATTTGTTTTGCCATATGAAAATAGTAATATGATCACCTAAACTAAATGGAAAATGTTTAAGGGCATGGATCCATGCTTTTAAATTCCAAAAGTACCCCTAAACTGAGTGGAAAATGTTAAAGGGTATAAATCAATGGTTGTTTATTTCAAAAGTATCCCTAACACTTTATTGTATAGAAAACAAAATTGACCAAATAGAGAAAAATAGAGTGGTTGTATGTGTTTTAATAGGGGCAAAAATATCATTATTGTTTTTAGTTTCTTTTGATTAAATTTAATTGAATGGATATTAATATTAAAATTATCATTTTCTACTTTCATTTAATGAAAGGTCGATTAAGTAAATTGATTACAAATTTTAGGGATATTTTAGTAAAACATAAATTATAGGGTAGATTTTAGTAAATTATGAAATTATAGGGGTGTTTTAATAAATGACCCTATTTTTATTTATTTATTTATGTTTGATAAGTGGACCCACTGACTCTGTTATCACTTACCGCTCCGTGGGGAGCCAATCCGAACTCAGTTACAAATGCTGTAAGCGGTAAAACCCTAACAAATTGCATACGAGTCATAAACGTGATCCTGACGCTCCCATTAAAACAGCAAACCTGAACGGTTGATCGGCGAAACGCTCTCATGAACTCTCTCTCAGAAAAGAAAAGCTCGGATTTGACTGGAGAACAAGAAGAAGAGTGAAAGAAGAATTGATGATCTTCTATTGATCTTAGGGCAGGTAATTATTTAGATTGTTTTATCGAGAAAACGTTAAAGAAGAGAATTTTGTGGTTATTTTGAACTTGATGTGATTACTTTCAGCTGTAACTTGATGAAATTGTTTGTTATTGGCTATTTTGGTGAAATTTTCGAGTTGCAAATCGACGTCTTACTTAGCTTTACGAGGTTCGAAAAATTTAATCTCTCTCTCGTTTGTGCATAGTTCTATTTAGAGCTTTGGTTTTCCGCAGACAATGCGATCTAATGCGGATATAGAGAGACAAAGAGAGGGAGAGAGAGAATTGTCTACACTTGGAGAATCTTGATGCGTTAGTGTGGTAGGGGCCATTACTGGGTGTTATGGTAAAATCTTGAGCTGGCAAACGTGAAAACGCAGGTTCGAGTCTGAGACCGGTCAATTTGTGCAAGAAAATGCCAAAGGTTAGGACCGTAATCTGCCCGTCCCAAAACCCAGATAGTTGGGACCAACATATGGTAATGTCCCATTTTTTGATGCATAAGTGTGGTATTCCCTGAGAAATCTTATATAAATTGCAATTAATCTAGTTTGCATGGACTTACACAGTTCACATGCATTTCTACTGGGCATCACATCCACCGACCTGGTGCTTGTTCTAATTTCTTGCTGACACATGGAGAAAACGAGGTTTTCCAGTGATTTCTTACATTGGAAAGAAATATAATCTCCTATTTGTTTAAATGAATTGATATTATGTTGTAGATGAGTTGAAAAAAAACATCCTGGAATCTTTGATTGGATAAGAAATTCTTGAATTAATTTCCCTTTTTTTATGATTTTGTCAGAAGTTGGTGCCAAAGACAATGCAACTGTATTCAATTAACATGTTTCAAATATTACCTTGTTATGTCAACTGATGGAAGAATTCTAGGGATACTCATCAATAATTTCCATAAGTACATAAATTGAATTTCTCATTGCCAAAACCCAATTGACATGTTACTTATGCAGCCTCATCGGCACGAGGTTGTCCAGAACAAGAGTGTTTAGATCTCCTTATTTAGCAATACTAATTTTTGCTGGCAATTCTGAGCAGATCCTGTTGCATTGGTTCCATCTTTATGTAGCACTGTAAACAGAGCAAATTCAACTTGAATCTGGCACAATTCAAATTTGAGTTCGACAAAACAAATGGTGATTTGAATTCAATTCAACATTTGATGGATGTTAAAAAAGACCGACTGAATTTGAATTTGTATCAATAATCAATTATCTGAAATAAGGAGTGTAAACCTAAAGATCAAGGAGGCTTGGGTGTAAGAAGGGTGAAAAACGTAAATATTTCTCTTTTGGGAAAGTGGTTTTGGAGAGTTTGGTGAGAATCAAGGAGGGTGGTGGCAGCTAAATATGGATATAGAAACATGGGATGTGACCCAGGGGTGCCAAACCAATCCCATGGATGCTCTGTTTGGAAGGGCATTGAGAAAGCCTATGATCTTTTCTTCAAAGGGACTGGACTGAGATTCAAGGTTAGATATGGACTTCGTATGAAAATTTGGATGCACGGTGTGAAAACAGATCACTAAAGGAGATCTTTCCAGCCCTTTTTGAGATGGCTGTGGATAAAGAATCTTGTTTGGTGGATTGTATGCAGAGATTGTGAGGTAGATTCAATGGTGGAGATGATGCATAGATTGTTAACACTCAAGTGGACATCAGTAGAAAATGATAAAATTTGGAAATTTGTCTGTTAAATCCTTCTACAGTTCTATCTCGAGATCTGATGACCAAATAATTTGTTTGGTGCAACTGTTAAAGAATGTTTAGCCTTTTTTTTGTATGGACTACCTATTTGAACAGAATCTTAACTAGGAATTATCTGTTAAGGGTATGATGCTGGATTCTACTAATTGTGTTCTATGTGAGGAGCAAACAGAACCGGTAAATCATTTGCTGATACACTGTAACTTTTCTTTGAGGTATGGTAAAAAATTCGGTACCTGTTTGAGATGAAAAATTGCTCCCCAGAATTGGTGGTGGAATTTGTAAAGGGTTGGATAGTTGGAGGTCTAACTAAGAGGGGTAAGTGGCATGAAATATTACTCTTGCAGTGGTTTTTTTTTTTGGTGGACATGGCAGGAGCAAAATACAAGTATATTCAAGAACAAAAGTAGCTCTACAGACAGTGTTTCAGAAAATCTTGGGAAGAATGTTTTCTTGGCTTGCTGCAAACAAATTATTTAAATATAGAAATAAGAGCTCCCTATTTTTGTACATGATAATCTTTTTGCTGTGCAGGGTTTGGGGGCATAAGGCTGCATGGTCAGTGATTCTATAATCCCTGTGTACAGCAACTCGTTGTACATGTTTTTTTGGCCAACATAAATGATACTATACTTTATCTTTTCTTAAAAAATATCTTAATTTGATTCAAATTTGACAGATTGCAATATACTTCAGGGCTATTAAAGGTTTTTGAGCACTCGTCTATTTAATTGGAGAAGAGAGAGAATAGACTAAAATGGTTTGGTCACGTGCATAGAAGACCACCAAGAGCTCTGGATAGGAGAAGTGATTTATTACAAGTGGAAGGGGCTAGAAGAGCTAGGGGTAGACCAAAAAAGGACATGTGTAGAACTAGTAAAAATGATTTAAGCACTAGCAATTTAACAGTGGATATGGCTTTAAATAGAATGGATTTCGAATTTGGAAATAAGATTCATGTAGCCAATCCCATATAGTTGGGATAAGGCATGGTGCAGTGCTACACTGCTATTTACTCGGAGTGAATAAAGTAAAATAGTGCTGGAGTGGTATCTGCTTGCTGGTGCAGTGCTACACTGCTACTACCATGTTGGTGTGGTGCTGTCACTTTGCTGCCTCAATACCAACTCTTGAGATTACAATAGATGCTTTTGCAACACTGCACATGCCATGGGTAATATATAAGACCATCCCTCCCCCATGCAAAGGATCTTCTGAGGTATGATTCAAAATGGCTGCCACACCAAAATATCTACAGAGTTGCAAGACCCATTAAAGTATTAAATTTGAATCAACTAGAATCTGGTGATGCTTCTACTGGTTCGCTGATTGCGTTGCTCATTTTTTTCAATCAATTAACTTTATTCAAGAAGACTATTGCTAGGGGAAGAGGAAAGAGAAGTGTGAGAGAGAGAGGGAGGGAGGGAGGGAGGGAAGGATTTAAATTTGCTTCCCAAACATCTAGATCAAATTCTTATCATGGAAGGATTTTGTACATCCCTACCAGCTCAGAATTTTTCTAATGCATTCCCTCATATCCTTTGGATATTTGTTGTCATTTAATAATTCTATGATTATTGGGAATGTGATTATACATATTTGTGTAACAAATTTACAATATTTTTTGTTTGTTGCCTATAAATTTACAATATTTTTCTAATGCATTCCCTCATATCCATCCGGTTTGATGTGGGACAAGGTAATAGAATTTTGTTTTGGGAAGATCTCTGGGTAGGGGAAGCCCCACTAAAAGATAAATTTCCTGATCTCTCTTTGCATTATCTAACCTTAAGGGGAAAGCAATATCCATGTTAGGATCCATGTGTCCAACTAGTGTGAACTGGAATTTAGGCTTTAGAAGGGGGTCTAAGGGAAAATGAGTGTGAATCCTTAACTCGTTTGCTGAACCTCTTAGGGCAAATCCACTTGGACCCTTCATTGGAAGACTCAAGAATATGGGTAAGCTCTCCAGATGGCCTCTTTTCTTGCTCCTCTTTCTTCAAAGTACTTGCTTCCCCCAACCCTCTAGGTGGGACTTTCCCTGTGAAAGAAATCTGGTGCAAGCTTATTCCCCCGAAGATCCAAGCTTTCTGTTGGGAAGTTTTCCTTGGTAAGGTAAACACTTGTGATATGCTGCAGAAAAGAAGGCCATATATGTGCCTTTCTCCTCATGTGTGTTCACTGTGTAAGGAAAGTGGTGAGACCCTTTCTCATTTGATGATATCTTGCTCTTTTGTGAATCGAATTTGGGATTTCTTTTGTACTCTCTTTGGCTGCAGGTGGGCTCCCCCTCAAGATGTGGCAGGACTCTTCAACCATGATTTCTTGAGACAGAGAAAGAAAAGAGGGATGGTAATGTGGAAAGCAACAAAGGCAGCAATATGTTGGGTAATATGGGAAGAGAGAAACAACAGAGTTTTCCTGGAAAAAAGTAGAACAGTAGAGGAAGTGATTGATAATATCAAAGTGAAAGTAGCCCATTGGGTAAAACTCCTAGACTGCTTTCAAGTCTTCTCAGTTACAAATATTCTAAGAACATGGTCCGAAGTAGCACAATCTTCGAGAGTAAGAGATAAATCAAGGCTGGAGTGGAAACCACCTGAAGGCAACAAAGTAAAGCTGAATTTTGACGGGTGCTCATATGGAAATCCAGGAATCTCAGGAATAGGAGGAGTATTAAGAACCCCTGGCAGGAGGATATTGGATATGTTCTCAGGGCCGATTGGCAATGGAAACTCACTGAAGGCTGAGCTACTGGCATTATTACAAGGGTTAAGGCTAGCTAAACAACTAGGATGCAGACGCGTTGAAGTGGAAGGGGACTCAAAAGTAGTAATCTCATGGGTTACAAATAGCAGCCACACCCCATGGACATTTAAATATGTGATTAGGGAAGTGGAGAAGATTGCCAAGGAGGTAGAGGCTGAATTCAAATGGGTCCGTAGAAGTGCAAATGGGTTAGCTGATGGATTAGCAGAACAAGGGGCACAGAGACAGCAATTATTTTGGGCTTCATTGTAATGAGGGATGAATAGAGTGAGGAAAAGGGATCAACAGTCCCATCCTTAATTTGTATAAAATGTTTACAATCTGAATCTGAATTTTAATAAAACACATATTTGCTGATCAAAAAAAAATTTAGAATGTTCCTGGTCAATTATAGCACATCATATGCCATCTTTTTTTCCTTTTGAAAGAACATGGACGACAACCATAGCACATTTAGAATCGTACTGATTCTTGGACAAATTTGAAGGATTCTAATTTTTAAATTCATTCTGGAGATAAGAAACTAATGCAGTGATAGATAGTATGCTTCTTTTTTTTTTTTGGATCAATAGATGGTACATTTCTTTCTGTTGTTCCTGTGTTTTTGTCTTTATTGCATATTTTCTAGTATGCATTTGTGCAGAATGCACACAGCTTTCTATTATTTGTTGTAGTTCCTGTACTTCAGCAGATAAAGATTTTCTGTAAACAGCTTCTGAACTCTACTGAGGAAGCTACAAGAGATAGTGTGCAAGTGGTTTTCTTTCTTCTGTTTGGGAGACAATGCAGCCTCAGGAGGAGCTTGTTGCAGACAAGGAATTGGATTCTGCAACTTCTGATCCATTACTCTCCATAGATGATTGGGAAAATTTCAGAGATGATGATATCATGCAACAACAAACTGCAATAAGAGCTGAGGAAGCCGAGAAAATGCCATTTGTTGGTGACAAGGCAAGAGCAACTAATGGCACATTTGTAATTATATTTATATTGCATTTCTGCCCTTCTATTGATTATCACTGTTATTTGGAATCAAATTCGACAAATTCTAAAATCTAATTTCATCTTAATATTTTTTTTTTCTGTATGGTATCCTTCTTTGTGGACTTCATTTTGTTGTTTACTCCTTCCCCTTTATCTCTCATTGAGACTCTCCTATTTTTAATGGCAAGGTTGTGCATTTTCTTATTGTTTCTATTGCATTATTTACTTAGTTTGGGCCTCTAATTTTATCAGTGTTTTTGTATTCATTTAATTCATTGTATTCCAATAGGAAACAATGTAAATGCCTAGGCATTTAAATTTGTAATTTGCTTCCATCTGGAGCTTGTTTCCACTGGTCCAACAAACAATTTTCCTTGTTCTTTATAATTACTGCTTCTGAACTTATACTCAATACAGCTAAATGGCAGATTTTATATATTTATATTTAAGTTCAGTTTTGCTCAATAGTGCTCAATAAAAGATCTCCTCATATGATCATGTTATAAAGATTAGGAAAAGACTAAAAATGTAGAAAACGTGGGAAAATATAAATAAAATCACTAAAAATGAAACTAAAAAGAAAGATATTCAAGGCATTAAATCGAAATATCAAAGGGTTCTGGTAAAGGATGAAGAAATCAGGGAAAGATGGAGGAGCTATTTTAAAAAATTATTAAATGAAGAATATACAGACAGTGTGAGCTGTAGAGGGGTTAGTAGCTCCTATGTGGCTAGAAACTATATGTATTTTCATAAAGTTAAAGCATTTGAGGTTAAGGAAGTTTTACACAAGATGGAGGAAAGACATCAGAATTCATGTAGCTGATCTCATATAGTTGGGACAAGGCTTAGTTGAGTTGAGTTGGGGGAAGGGTTACTCTTATCAAATTTGACCTTCTTAATTCTTCTGGTCTACTTTTTGTGTTTAGGACTTCCATAAAGGTGGAAGAGAATGAAGAATATCATAGATATTTTCTATGGGAACTAGGGCTTGAGAAAAGATCATCTCACAAACTGGGATATGATTAGCATGAGCAAGAGGAAGGAAGTCTAGGGATAGGGAGGTTAAAAGATGAAAGCACTGCTTTGTTGGGAAAATGGCTTTGGAGATTCCCTATTGAAAATATCTCGCTATGGTATTTGATAGTTAAAAGTAAGTATGTTAATGAAAATGGTTGGGATTCAGGTCCCACTAGAGATACCATGCTCAGGTGCTCTTGGAAAGGCTATTATGGCCATCCACACTTGTTTTTACAGCACATTAAATATTGATCCTATCACAAGGAGTAGGGTGGAATTTTGAGAAGGTTCTTTGGTGGGGTGGTTTACCCTTGGTACAAGCATAAAACTTTTGCTTCGTCATATAATGAAAAGAAGCTCATTTTGACATGGTGCACTTTGCTAGTGTGGGCATTTTTTTTGGATGTGGATCTTAGAAGGGGTTTGAGAGGCTCTAAAAACTACACAGAAGTGATAAACCTTTTGTAAAGTTTAAAAATGTCTTTCTGCATCCTTTTGGTTCTAACAAGAGAATTTGGTCTCCCAATTTTGTGCCCTTTTGGAAAGTTTTGAACATGTCTTCAATAGGTGCAGTCTAGGCAACCTGATTACCTGAGAGCTTCAGCATTGGTGTGGTGGTAAGAGACAATGGAGTAAATTAAGATATTTGGGTCATGCTGGTTTTGGCATTTTTTTTGATCAATAACAAAGATTTCATTAATCAAACAGAATAATTAATTACAAAGGAAGGGAGATAAACTTAACTCTCCCAACAGAGGCAAGAGCCCTCAAAGTGAAAAAACCAAAATTACAACTGAGCCCAGAATAAAGATTCCCTAGTCACCCCTTGCTTGGCTAACCTATCTGTAAATGAGTTAGCAGATCTCTTCACCCAGCTGCACTTTGGTAATTCTCCGAAGGCAAGATGATTATCCCTAATTTGAGGGCTAAAACTTGTTAGTGTGGTGGGATGGGTTGATTTAATAGTTGAAGGAGGGTATTGGGTTGTTATCAATTGGCTAATACTAGGGGAATGAAGCCATGATTTTTATATTTTTAGTTAGGGAAGCAAGAGCTTTTTAGATTCTAACCTGAATTGCTCATTCAGGTGGTTCCCTAAAACAAAAGTGGATAGAAGGGGATGGAATCCTTATTGCTGATAAAAAAAGAGCACCATGTTGCATACTTAAAAACAAAAGTGAATTTCAAAGTTGTAATAAGTATCGTGGGATTAAACTTTTTTTTCCTGATAATAAGGTAAAGTTCCATTAAATAAAATTGGAAGCAAAACCGGAAGAGCTTTGTGTCTCAAGCAAGAAGGGGCCCCAAAGCCACTAGACACAATTTACAGAAATCTCATCACACTATACAAGTGAAGCTGACCACCATCATACTTGCATAGATAAAGGATTGAAAACCTGTATCTGTGATTATCATTCTGCACGTCAAAGAACTCAACTGTCATCTTGACCACTTGCCACTCCAATGACCCCACCACCACCACCAACAAAGAGATAAACAGGAGAAAACAAATCTACAATAGCTCCATGCTTCTAACAGTGGGTGAAAAAGGGTGGTATTTGAAAATCACAAGAAATTTTCGATGGATGGGTGTGAACAGAAAGCCATGGGGCCCAGTGATCTTGGTAACAACTCAACAGAGGACGGGGATAGAGTTGTTGGTTAGGCTTTTGAAGTAGGATCAGAAGAGTACATGGCTTGGAAGTTGCAGCATTGAACAGGAATAAGTAAGAATGAATTAGCTCGCAAAACAGATGTTGAGTTTGGGAAAGGTTTGAGTATGGATGGAGATAATACATGTGCAGTGGACTTCAGAGATGGACCCTTCCAATCAATCACACGTGTGAGTTTTTTTTTTTGATCAATAACCATATTCGTTAATTAATCACAAAAATAATTACAAGGAGGAAGATAAACTTTCTTATCTTCTAACTGGAGCTTGAGCTCCCAAGAACAGAAAAAGGAAAAATTACACTTGTGCCCAAAACATTGACTCCCTCTCAACTCCTTGCTTAGCTAACCAATCAGCAAAAGAGTTAGCTGATCTTTTCACCCAGTTGATCTTAACTTTCCATCTCCTGAACCAGCCACCTAAATTTCCTCCTCTCATCTCTTGAACCACACGTGTGAAGGTTTGGTGATGATGAGTTCAGCGGATAGAAGTGAACAACCCATCGAGGTAAGAATAGAGAAAGAAATCAATAGGAATTTTGATGAAGGCTTTGACAAACCTAAGGAAACAGCAGAACTGGGAGCAGAAGATAGAGAATTTGAAGGGTCTGTTAGAGAAGTTTTTGCAGGTAAATTGGGAAAGGATATTGGCAGACAACGGATAGAGATTTTGTAGGGCTGAAGAGGGTGGAGTTGCTTTGAGTTCAAAGAAACTAAAAGGACCAAACAATTGTAATCTTGTTCATGTAACCAAAGTTTTCTGACTTTCTCATGCTTGAAAGAAGGCTTCATTGGTACAGAACCTAGCAACAAATTCAAAAAGGTTTAAAAGAGGAGGTGGGTAAAAGTTAAACAAAGAAATCAGAAGGAATTTGGCAAACCAGAGGGAAAAAAAAGGAAAAGTCAGGATGATTAGAGGGTGGAAACTAAAAGGACCAAACAATTTGTAATCTTGTTGATGTAACCAAAGTTTTCTGACTTTCTCTTGCTTGAAAGAAGGCTTCATTGGTACAGAACCTAGCAACAAATTCAAAAAGGTTTAAAAGAGGTGGGTAAAAGTTAAACAAAGAAATCAGAAGGAATTTGGCAAATCAGAGGGAAAAAAGGGAAAAGTCAGGATGATTAGAGGGAGGGAGGGAGGGACGTGGAAGTTCATGCCAGTAGTCATTTTGGGTTTATGGAACTTGAAAATAGAAAGTTGAAGGTAATGATCCAAAAGAGTTGGAGGAGGGATTGGTGGCTGAAGATGAGTTTGGCTAAGGCATCAGAAAATTATTTGCTTCCCTTCTCATCCATAGGAATTGAACTCCAATTGTTCAGAATTAGTTTGGAGTTACCTTCTTCAATCATTTCTCTAAGTTTAGAGATTTCCAAGCTCCAATCCTTGGTGTACAGCCAAAAGTTCAGCCTGTAAAGAATCTCCTTGACCTATGGGTCCTGAATACAATGCCAAAATTACACCAGTCTCTAAACACCCTACCAATGCTTGACCTTCCTGGATTTTCTACTCTACTCATATCAAAGTTGAGCTTTACGTTATTGACATTGGGAACTATCCAAGAGGAGAACTATGGTTTTCTCGTAGTAGAGGAGTTTGCTACATATGGCCATCCCCATACAATGTCATCTATAGAGAATGGATTAAAAATAAGCAAAATCTTAAATCAATAAACCGCCTTTTTTTTTGGATAAATAATATATCACATTTCATTAAAATCAAGAGGAAATTACAGACCCTTGGGAAGGCGCGAGATGCCACCTCTCCAAAACAGGGAACCCAAAAAACACATAAACCCTAAGAACTATAGCAAAGAGTACATGAGTGCTATTGACCAGAAAAGAAAAAAGAGTACATGAGTGCTACTACAAGATTACAGTTTAGCCCAAAACAGTGTTTCCCTATTTGTCCCTTGTTTTTCCAAAATATCAGTTAAGGCATTCACTGATCTCCCCACCCACTGCATTGTAACAGACATATTCCTTGTCAGCCATTTATATTTCTTTAGCCACCTTTATCAATATGTTTTCTATTACCACTTCCTTTGAATGGGATTCTTAAAAAAATTCCATTCTTTTCTTCCCATACTGCCCATAAAACAGCCCCTCTAATACATCTCTATAGAATCTTCTCTCTCTGTTTAAAGGGTTTAAAGAAGAAATGGGCTGCAGCATTGGGAAGCTCCACACCACATATCTATTCTGCCTCTTGGTTCCAAATGCAATTCAAAGATGATATGGGATGTTATCCTTGAGAGGTTTGATAGAAAGCTGGTTAT